TAATCTTCTACTGGTTGTGTTATAAGATGAAGGTGACCGTGTAGTCATGGAAACGTCACACTCTAATCTTCTACTGGTTGTGTTATAAGATGAAGGTGACCGTGTAGTCATGGAAACGTCACACTCTAATCTTCTACTGGTTGTGTTATAAGATGAAGGTGACGTCACACTCTAATCTTCTACTAATTGTGTTATAAGATGAAGGTGACGTCACACTCTAATCTTCTACTGGTTGTGTTATAAGATGAAGGTGACCGTGTAGTCATGGAAACGTCACACTCTAATCTTCTACTGGTTGTGTTATAAGATGAAGGTGACCGTGTAGTCATGGAAACGTCACACTCTAATCTTCTACTGGTTGTGTTATAAGATGAAGGTGACCGTGTAGTCATGGAAACGTCACACTCTAATCTTCTACTGGTTGTGTTATAAGATGAAGGTGACCGTGTAGTCATGGAAACGTCACACTCTAATCTTCTACTGGTTGTGTTATAAGATGAAGGTGACCGTGTAGTCATGGAAACGTCACACTCTAATCTTCTACTGGTTGTGTTATAAGATGAAGGTGACCGTGTAGTCATGGAAACGTCACACTCTAATCTTCTACTGGTGTTATAGGAATTTCTGATCTAATGACAATAACAACTTGAAGAAAATGTTGCAGTATTTTCGCTAGGTCTGATTCTGCCAGTCAACAATGTTTAATATGGAGGCCAAACATCTAGTACAAAATATGTATCATGGGTGGTTGGATAGTGTAGTGGTAAAGCTCTCGTCTTCCACCGGGACGTCATGGGTTCCCTGAGTTGATGTAAAAAGGTATTTAAGACAACCCAATCTGATTTAAGGCAGATCTTTATTATCGCCCCATTAACTCTGTATAGGATCTTGTAACATCAAATAAGGAGTCATGATTGGGTCACGTTCACTTTCAAAATTGGGGGACCAGTCAATTGATCACCAGAATCCCTAAAAGAACTGAGACGTCAAAGCGCATACTATTGTCGTAGCATAGACAATTTGAATGCATATATTTTTAGCCATACTGAATATCCTTTATAACTAAATGTACGACACAGACTTGATATACCTGTATTCACTCATAAATGTGTTTTAAAATTGAAGAGTTGTTTGGTTTTTTTTTTTTTACAAATGAATTCGTTTATTTGCTCTTCGGAGTACATCGATATTTTACCTTCCTTACTGCATGAGACTTCGAATATGTGCAAATGTTGTGACTTCATCAAAGTGTCAGATTTAACAAGGATTTTATGATCACGTTTATAACTAAGTTGAACAGTAATTGATTATTTCGATATCGAGGTATTCATTATTTCCTGTAGTCCAGACCGAGAACGGGAGTGATGTACAATTGTGTATGCGTCAATAAGCTAATTTACCTGAAAGGTTTGATTCGTAACCACACTTTCTTGAGCATGCAGCATTCTGATTCGTCAATGTTCATATATTTTAATGAATAAAATTTTATGAATAAAATTCACAGTAATGATACGGCAGATTAAGTTTGCATGTCAGCCATCTTGGACTTTGAATCTGCTATAAAAGCAGAGCAAGAGAACAGACTGCATTCTTAAAATTAACTTATATTTTCGAGGTCCCCACGGAAATTACAAAACTTCTGCGGTAAGTGATTTATAATCTATGACGTCATGTTACAATTATATTTCTTATGTGGCCATCCGAGGGGCTTCCACAGTAGACGTTTGTAAAGTTTAGTAAAGACATATGTTAATGTGACTGACGAAATTATTTCGAATACTACCGAACAAGATCAATGGACAATGCAATAGAATCAATTTACATCCTCGTGCATCGAATTGAGAATATTTCACAAATAGTTAAAAAAAATCAAGTATTATTTTGGCTTTACATCTGATATTAGATACGTAATCGCAAATTAAAGAAAAACAAATAAAACTATTTATACCACCCCACTCCTTCTCCTACGACTTGGTTTCATGCTTGCCGCCTCTAAGCTTTGATGACGTCATAATTATTTTGACGTCATTACCTCATGAATATTAGCGAGTTTAGCGAGCCTTTCTCTCCACATGAGTTCCAAAAACTCCCACTAGATGTTAACATAGCTCAAATGACATAGAGGTAGAGCAGACGGAGACAAAGAACACATGTAAAGATAGAAAAACTGAAAAATTAAAATGGACTGCGTCTTGAATTTGAATTGAAATGTGAATGATTTCTTCTCAATGTGTCTATAGCAAAGGCGGTAAGGATAAGTTATGTTTTAGAAACGTCCCATGTTCGATCACCTGTATATATAGCATGGTGTTATTTTGTTTCATTTATTTTCCATATACCTTTACATACACTACATCTATGAGCGAGTGTCGTTAATTGCATTGTGTAGACCCTGCAGTATATTGCCCGAGGCAAGATTCCGGATTCATGGAAAAACTGTTTGCGCATGTGCAAGTAATGTCAATGATTAACCCATCACCGTCAACCAGTCGCTATCAGTGAAAATGTTACCTATTGTGCTACAACATTACAGCACACACTACGAGGAGGGCAATAAATTGCATTTCTGTTTAAAGTTTTGAAGTTTTAGTACCGTTGGGACTTTAAACAGCGGCCCCTGTGAGGATTGTCGACTCTCCCACGTTTAAGATCCCCCTTTCCGAGACTTTAGTGAAAAGAGAAGGCGTGATAATGCTGGTTCATGTTTCTAGGGATCGTATCAGACGATACAACTATTTCTAAGATATAAGAAGGACGTCAAAAGCACCCTAACACAAACCAAATCTAGATAATCCCCCGACTCTTCCTTCCGGCTTCTGGACACGTTCTAACTGCTAGAATTTGGTCAAGCTAATAGTAGGCCATGGAGTTGTCCTCTAAGACTAGTATTATCAAATGATCAAAGCTACAGACTGTACCATCCCAATGAGGGGGATACAGGTCGCCCCCTCATATCGCCAGAACACTGACGTCCGTCCGTGAGACGTTACTCGAACACGGGAGGAGTCATGGAGACGAAAAACCTGTCAACCGACCAAGTACCGTTGTCAAGATAATGTTTACCTCGATCAGAATGTATATGTAGGTGAATCTTATGTTAGCTTTAAGTTGACCTGGTGCGATTGCTGAAGAGGCAATTGAATATTTACAATTTTACAAGAGTGTGTAGTGTTAGTATCAACTTTTTTAAAAAGCTTTGCCAGCAGGCAGCTGTAAACAGCGCGAAGCTACTGACGTCGGCATAGTCTCAATGAGCTACAGGATTTGTATTTTTTAGCATCCAGGAGGACAGTCAGTTGAACAACTGCATTGAGACTTCATAGACAAGTTTGAAAATCTACAAGCCCGTGGCTACCGACAGTATTTATAAATGTATGCACAGGAAGTACCTGGATGTATGTTTAAATAACACTAATTTGTACTGTACACAAATCTGCCCATTAAGACGTAGGTCCATTAAGACGTTGGTCTATTAAGACGTTGACCGAAGGTCTGGTACACTGTGTACTGTAGGTTCCCTTGGTTGCCTTGTTATCTTATGTTGATATCTTTCATAAAGATAATATCTTATTTGGTGGAAATAATTTGTATAAAGACATACTTCTGTGATACCTTCGAATACTTACTTAGTAATAGAAAGCAAAGCATTATTACATGCAGTTGTAAAGTTGATATAACAATACTTTACCTATAATATGATTTCATGTATCATCAAACACATACACTACTTTGTAAACGTTTTATATAAATTCACTCCTTGATACAATCATCAAGAAAATACCAACATCATCATAATTCTAACTAAAATTCCATAAAACTAGGTCAACACATGAACAAAAGAAAGATTTACACGGAAACTCCTGGAAAAGTACAAGGAGAACGAGACCAGGTGTTCCGGAAGAGTAAGCGTCTTCTGCTTCATCGACGACACCCGCCATGTAAACCTTGATCAATCCAGATAAGTAATGTCACGTTCCCAAATGAGAACAATGTATACAACAACGGAACCAACAGGCAAACTAACGAGCATCAAATACGTCCAGCTTCATGTCACACAAAGAAATGGAATATTTCTCAATGAGATCACTTTGGAAACCATAAAACTCCCACCCCCCCCCTACTTTTCATCAACCTGCATCTTTTGAACCCTTGTGCTGGGAGTTTAGAATTCTGTTAAACAGTAATGTGCATCATTTTAATGATATTTGATTTTATCATATTATGTAGTTCTAACTAAGGGAAATGAATTCGAAATTTAGAACAATTGTCATTACATTTACAAATTTACAATCAATCATGGTTATACATTTGTAAATAATCTTTGTTGTACTCATAAGCTGGAAAAGTTACTCGGTATATTTAAACAATGTCATTTCAATTATGTGGACTTTCAGTAACTATCATGTTTCAAAAGCAATTTTTGTTGCAATAAAGACAAACACTTAATATTTAGATAACATTATCCTCCATTCTGACAATAATCAGTTCTTTGTACCTGTAAAACTTGCAGGTCTGCATGTTATTGTCCTTTTTGAAGGACAACAACTTATTCATACTATGTTGGGGATTAAGCCAACATGTCATCTCTATGTAAACAGCATCTTTCTAGAGGTTTAAGCATAAAATAATATTTGGACAATAAGGATGAGACAGATTATCACAGAATTTGAAGAATGTTACAACATTTAGACATTAAGGATGATATATATATAGATGACCAGAGATTTTAAAAATGTTAGAATATTTGAACAATAAGGACAAGAATGATGATCGCATATTAACATTACAATATCTTAATAATAAGGACGTTGCTAAATATAAATTTAATCGCTGACCGTATAAAATTGACGATCTGACACAACACACGAACCAGTCCTATACCGTCCTATGGCGGTTTCTAGTCTGTCATGTCCATGAAATTTGCCGATAAATTCATGCACTCTGTATATGTTATGATCACAGGTAACGTTTCTGATGTAGGTAGGGGAGTTTGGACTTAC